AAACCCTAATCTTGTAAAGCAACCCTTTCAGTTTAAAAATAGAAATGAAAGGAAAAACATTTGTAGCGACCTCTTGTGTGCATAGTTTGTGAGTGTAGTTAGAGGCTTGTTAGAAGTCTGAGTGTCAGAGGGTTTCAGGGTTTACTTCAGGCTTTTAGGCTGGAGGGCTCCACAGGTTTGTCAACTGGTACCTCCCCCTGGTTCTAGAAGCTTGGAGAAGTTTCTAGAAGCCAGCGGGTGGAAGCCAGGAGGAGCTGATCTGCATATTCATGGGAGTCTGACCAATGCCAGGCAGGAGCCCTGGCAGCGTGGCAGACTGGCCCATAAATATGAGAGAGCCTGGCCAGCAGGGAAGTTGGGTGAAAGAGAAGAAGTGCTGAGGTGTGCTGCTGTGTAGCCTGGGAGGGGATCCCAGAGAAGGGGAGTTCTGCCTCCAGGCTGGAGGCTGGAGGAAGGAAAGAAGGAAAGGAAGCTGACAGAGGGAGCTCCACTGCATTACAGTCCACTGAGGAAGGACAGCCTGTTAGCCTGGAAGGAAACCAGCCCAGCAAAAGCTGAAAGCAGTTTTTCCAAAGCTACAGGACACAAGGACAGTGTGAGTACCCAGAGGTGGCTCTTTAATTAGGTGAAGCCTTACACTTACAATGGCCTCATGGCCGCCTATTTTGCCTAATTGTCCCAAGCAGTTTTGCCAGTGAAAAAAAAGGTACTTTTCTTCTGTCTGTAAACAGCAGATAAGTGCCCGTAAAAACTCCACTCATCCTGAGCTTCTTCTCCCCCCGCTCCCACCTGAGCCAAATACCAGCGGCAGCCTGCCCCTCTCCTCCTGAGCTGAATACCAATCAGCCGGCTCCAGAATTGCACATGTATTCAGTTCTGGAGCCATCTGATTAGCAATCAGCTGAGCTCGGCTCTGTTGTGGCTGGGGGGGGGGGCGGGTGCTGCCACTGGTCAGGTGCACAGGGAGGGGAGCACGGGGGGGGGGAGAGGAGGACCAAAGCCTTCAGGCACTTGCAGGTTAGTGTGCGACAGCTCTGTAGGGCGGTCAAGGAGTCATTTTCTGTGCGGGGGGGGGTCACTGATGTAAGGGGCTAGTGGAGACCCTAAGGTAAAGGGGAACACTGATATAAAGGCCCCCCATTATATCAGTGTCCTCACTCCCCTCTTACATCAGTGAGCCCTTACCTTAGTATATTTACTCTGCAGACTCTGGTGTAACGGGGAGTCAGCAGAGTTCACCCTTACAGTGCAGGGGGAAACTCTGAGGTAAGAAGGAACTCTGCAAACTCTGATGTAAGGGGGAACTCTGGTGACCATTAAATCTTTTACATCAGAGTTTCCCTTTACACCAGAGCCTACAACATTCCCCCTTTCCAGCAGGTTCCACAGAGTGCCCCTTTACATCAGGGTCCACAGAGAGTTCCACTTTATATCAGGATACACAGAGTTCCCTTTTAAATTAGGTTCCGTAAAGTTCCACTTTACATTAGGTTCCGCAGTGTTCCCTTTCACATCAGGTTCTGCAGAGTTCCCCTTTACATCATGTTTTTCAAAGTTCCCCTTTACATCAGGGTCCTTTGTAAGGCAAACCCTGCAGACTCTGATGTACTTTAAAGGGGACCTCTGGGGTCCTCAGTCACCGGCTGCCACATGTGTCACTTGTTCTAGGGGGCAGCACTGCCCCACTGAAAAATGCCACCCTAGGCAAACATCTTGTTCACCTTGTGGTAAATACGCCCGTTTGCATCTATGCACATTATTCCTCCCATCCAAAGCATGAGGATCTAAAGTTGAAAAGGCCTACTGAGGATCTCAATCTGGGAAGGCCTGTTGTGTAGCTGACAGATGGATGAGCTTGAGTGGGACCTCTTGTCAAAGTTTTGTCTAAGGCCTCACAATGCCTAGAGCCGCCTCTGTGAGTACTTCTACACCCCCAGGACCTACAGGAGAGAGGGCTGCTAGGTGCTATACCCAACCAGTTCTCCCTGGACAGGGCTGCAACTTAGAACAACTTTGGAAGAGTATCCCATGTACTAGAATCTCTTACCATGGGATACTCTTCCAAAGACAGCCAGTTGGATGGGTAGTTTCTAGCTGGCGTCTGAAGAGGTTGACTTAGAGGGGACTAAGAACTCCTCACAGAGACTTTGTCACTGGTTACTGAAGAGACTGATGCCACTCTGGAGGGAGTAGACAGTCCAGGATCCTACATTTTGTGAAGTTTGTCCTCAGAGTCAAGTTGGGCATCCCATATACCCCTAGACCCTATCCAAGTTTATCCCCAAATAAAATAGCAAAAAACAAGCCCATGGACTGGTTACTTACTCTGAATGAAAATTGGAAAATGCATGTTGCTTGACCGTACAGGAAACTAGGGGGACCCAAAACCAGTGACTCTCAAGGGGATAGCACTACACATTTGTGAAATCATATTAAAAAAAATTATAAACCTTTTTATGAGTGATCACCTTTTGTTCTAAGCTGCATAAGGAGCTCAGAGAGCTAGGATAGGTGAAACAGTCAAGCCTGGCGCAAACAGGTAGTTTTTATTTTCCGTTCAATCCAGTTGGCTGAATGAAAAAAACTGAGGAGCTTGTTGTATTAACTGTGTTATGTTAGTAGAGCTATCTTCCCACTGAGCTATTATGTTCTGATAGGGGGACTGCCCCGCCCCCCCGCCAGAACACACCAATCAGTGCTGCAAGCTGCAAGCTCTAATAGGGTGTTGATTGGCTGCTTGTTTTCCACAGGCTGCTGTATTCACTGGCCGAATGTTGGCAGGTTTCTGTTGAACAGGTCAACACCGGCAGATATTTGGCCCATGTGTACCAGCCTTAAGACACTGATCTTCTCAGTGAATGGCTGTGCGGAGAAAGAGGAGGGCGTATCAGCACAAGTCTAATACTTGGAGGAAAGCAGGCTAAGTTCCCAGCACAGACAGAAAACTGACCACTCTATGCTTAATGTGGTCAGTTTATATTAGGAATACAGAGGGACTGGCAGGAACACCAGGGATTTCACACAAAGGAAACAATACAAAGATAATAGGGTACATTTTCATACAAGTACATGGTACAGCGGGCACATATCCAGAATATTAAAGTTTGGGGTAACATATTCTTTTTAAAAAGAGGAAGAAAAATGTATGAAAAACGCATCCCTTTGAATCCTTTTAAATTCAGTTGCATTTTTAAAAGTCCAGCCTGCTGATCACTAACTGATCATTGTGAAAGGGCCCAAATCCAGCAAGCAGGTATTGTAAAAACACAACTGAAATGCAACTGACTGACGTGAAGAGTTCAATAGGATATAAAAGGATTTATTATGTGTTTTTACCATTTTTTGCAAGTGTGAAAGCAGCTAAAAATGCAACTGAAAGACAACTGACTGGTATGAAGAGTTCCATGGGATTTAAAGGGATACATTTTTCTCCTGCTTTTTGAACTGAAAAACTGTGAAAGGGTCCTATGCCAGCACATCCCACAGCCAGGCTTTACTATACTAACAAATTCCAGCTCAGACCTCAAATACAGATGCGTATTTTTCAAGGAACAACCACTTTAAATATAAGTTGGTTGTGTCAATTCTGCTGCTTTTATTAAAAGTCATATTATTTTTTCAAGCCCATATACATTAGGTCGTGCTAAGTAAATAAACAGTTAGCAAACTGATTCAACTGTGAACATTTTGAGGATTCTGTTATGTCAAATTATTGATTGGCAAATCTTTCAGTAAATGTTTATCATATAGTAAATAAAATAGTGTAAAAATATTAACTTGGTTGTATATAAACACAATGAATGCGTGTAAGCCTGTGAAACAGTGCCGTTGTCACACAATGCAGGTGCTATGCTTCAGTGCAGGTGCTTTGCCTCTGTGATATTTTAAGCTCACTTGACAATTACAATGTTTATGCTTCAGCTTCTCTTCATTCCCCAGTCTGGAGAAACCTTCCCTGCCACTCATAGCCAGACATGAAAATAAATATTTGAACATGGTGCAACATATCAGGCTAAACATATGATGTTGATTACAATAAAAACAAACATCCACTGAAATAATTATGCGCTATGCACTCTGGATTGAAATAAAATAATTTTCCTCTGAATTACTAATTCATATTGCAATCTGGATTAAATAAAAAATAATCCACTAAAATCATTCTTTAATATGCATTATGGAATAAAAATATTCCGCTAAAATAATAATTTATTATGCACTCTAGATTAAAAATATAAAAAAATAACTGCAATATTTATCAAATATGCAATTTCGCTTAAAAATAAATAAAATACACTAAAAAAATTATTCATTATGTATATTGGATTGAAATAAAAATGATGAACTGAAATATTTATTCAATATGCACTCTGAATTGAAAGAAATAAAAAAGTCCACCGTAATGTAAACTCAATTTGTGATCAGAATTAAAATAAAAGATCTATTCAAATATTTATTAAAATGCAATATGGATTAAAGATATATATATATCCACTGGATTAAAATAAAAAAAAATCTACTTAAAAAACTTATTCAACATTCACTCTGAATTGTTTAAGAAAATATCCAGTGAAATTATTATTAAGTATGTACACTTTAGAATAGACTTTCAAAAATACGGAAAAAGTTGGTTACCCACTTGCCCTCCAGATGATTTATCCCCCTTCCTGAACAGGCCATTTTTTTGCGATATGGCGCTGCGTTACTTTAATTGACAATTGTGCGGTCATGTAACACCGCACCCAAATCAAATTTACGTCCTTTTTTCCCACAAATAGAGCTTTCTTTTGGTGGTATTTGATTGCCTGTGTGTGTTTTTAATTTTTTCCATGATAAACAAAAACAGACCGACAATTTTGAAAGAAAAAAACTATATTTTTAACTTTTTGCTATTAAACATGACCAGTAAAAAAATAAAAAAAAACAAATTTAATCATAAATGTAGGCCAAAATATATTCTGCTATACGTCTTTGCTAAAACAAAAATCCCAGTATGTGTAAAATTAATTTGTTTGCGTGAAAGTTATAGTGTTTACAAATGGCAGTATATATACTGGAATTTTTTCTTTTTTTACTAGTAATGGCAGCAATCAGGGACTTATAGTGGGACTGTGGCGGACATTCTGACACTGGGGGGAACTGACTTGGTGTCAGTGACATCCCTAGTGACACCAATACAATGATCAGTGCTAATAAAAAGCACTGACACTGTACTAATGGCACTGGGCAGGAAGAGGTTAACATGTGGGGTGATCAAAGGGTTAACTGTGTGCTGTGTGCTGTTTTACTATGAGGCTGTGCGCTGTGTTTCACTGTAAGCACACTGGTTTGTATGGCTCGGCTATGCAGAGACATACAAAGCAGTGTGCAGGAGCTGACAGGGGAGAGATCTGTATTGTTTACATACAGGTCTCTCCCCCATTGGGAATCCCCTGGCTCTAGGACGGCGTCCATGGACGTAATTCAAGAACACACCCCCTGCGTGCCCCCAGTAGTGCACACCCGGCGGCACCTCAGTGATCACTGTGTCCTACGGACACAGCTGATCATGGGATATGGTAAATGTCCAATCACGGCGGCTTTTTACCACGTGATCAGCTGTGTCCAATGACACAGCAGATCACCAGGAAAATACAGTTGTCGGTTGTCGGCTGCACTTTCCTCACTCTGTCACAGCATGAGGAAAGTACTGTCAAGAACCGGCAATTGTCAGCAAAGGGATCGGCACTGATCATCAGGGCACTGATGATCAGTGCCCTGATGATCCGTACCCTGCAGTGCCGCCCACCTGTGCTGCCCACTTGTACCCATCAGTGCCACCCTCCTGTGCCTAGCAGTGCCACCCACCTGTGCCTAGCAGTGCCACCCACCTATGCCCATCAGTGCCACCCACCTGTGCCCATCAGTGCCACCCACCTGTGCCCTGCAGTGCTACCCACCTGTGCCCAGCAGTGCCACCCATTACTGCTACCCAGCAGTGCCACCCATCAGTGCTGTCCATCAGTGCCGCCTATCAGTGCCTCCTATCAGTGCCCATCAGTGCTGCCTATCTGTGCCACCTCATCAGTACTCATCAGTGCTGCCTATCAGTGCCCATCAGTGCTGCATATTAGTGCAGACCCATCAATGCACATCAGTGAAGGAGAAAAATTAACTGTTTGCAAAAATTTTATAATAGAAACAAAGAAAACCTTTTTTTTTTCAAAATATTTTTTCTCTTTTTTTGTTTATAGCACAAAAAATAAAACACTCGTCAGCGATTAAATACCACCAAAAGAAAGCTCTATTTGTGTGACAAAATGATAAAAATTTCATTTGGGTACAGTGTCGCATGACCGCGCAATTGTCATTCAAAGTGAGACAGCACTGAAAGCTGAAAATTGACCTGGGAAGAAAGTGCCTGGTAGACAAGTGGTTAATTTTTTTGAGCAGTGTATGTATATATATATATATATATATATATATATATAAGAATGAAATGTGGTGTTCAAATTGATGCAAACATGATTTACTCTGAAAGAGAAGTACAGCCAAAGCTCATGGATCACAAGAGTGCAGTTAGTTCAGATCCACCCAGGAGCCTGGACCGGCACCTGGCTCAGCCTCTCAGCAAGCCGCTGAGATCCGGAGACAGCTCCTCCTGCTCCCTCCACAGCCCAGCACTCCAGTGAGCATTGGGGGGGCAGAGCAGAGAGCTGGAGACTGACAGTCCCAGTTCTTTGTTAAGAGCGTTCGGGAGAACTGAGTTAGAGCCAGCGGGGGACAGATTCAGCATCAGATTGATGCAGCATCCACCTAGGTAAGTATAATTTAAAAAATACAATACTTCTCTGTTAAGCCATGAGGAAGAGGATGGTTGGTCAAAACTGTACAGTTGCTAATATGCTAATACTGTGATGGTGTATCGATCAATAATTAAATCATTTTTGCATCAATTTGAATATCACTTCTTTCTATATATGATTTTGGTGGAATATTGGGAGCCTGTATTTGATGTGGAAATCCGGTGTTCAAGACTACAAGTGGTAAATAATAAGTGTGACTAACCTTTTTCTAATATACATTTTTATATAAAATATATATATATATATCTTTTTTTGTTTTCAATTTTCATTTTGGATAGAGTAGGAGAGGGCTAAACCCAGTGTCAGTCTTTTTTTCATATGTGTTCCATTAGGGAGATTTCTGTTAACTGCCTGTCCTGTAGACTCAACAAGTAGTCATTTATTTCTAAACAAGGGATAGAACCCCTTAGTTGGTTGTTATTTGTGTGTCTCCACTGGAAGATTTCCCCTTTATTTCTGTTATGATTGCTTGCAGGGGCGGACTGAGCATTCGGCACTGCCCGAGGGCCCAGAATCAGTAGGGGGCCCCATGAGATGCCCCTGGCACTTTTTATAGGCTTTTGTGGGTGTGGTTTGAGTGTGGACGAGAACACAGGGGCCCCATGATCCCCTATTGTCCGGGGGCCCCATGAGTTCAATGACAGTCAGCCCCTGATTGCAAGTCATTTTCATTCCTGGTGACATTGGTAATTAGAACAGTTAGAGAGAATGAAATTCACTGACTGCAACATAGACATTGATAAAAACCTATCCTTTAAATTTTAAAGTGTTACTAAACCCAGGAGCCTGCACTCACTCTATCTTGTCTCCCACAGTACACACAACATAGAAATGCAATTATTTTAGTAAATATAAACTGCTAAATACCTTTTCTCATCAGTACATAGCAGACTTGTGACTTCTATCAGTGTTCAGCCAAGCACTAGCTAAAGCTTGTAGGAGGAGTTTTCTTTCTGCTCTAGGAGGATGCAAAACCCCTGACCTCTGTCTGACCAGTGCTGATTGACCCTGTACTGATCATATGCACTCTCCCAAGAAACAGAAAAACCTCTCTAGCAATACACACCAAACTGAGCATGTGCAAAATGCCTACGGTTTAGTATGTCTTATCAGGAGATAAGAGGTGGTTGCTTGAACAAGGGGAGGAACAGAGCAATCAGGACCAAATGGCCTTTTTACACAATGCAGAGGAATAACCCCTTAGGTTCCACAATGAATATAAAAAGCTGCATATACAGACTGATTTTAGTGTTGTGGGTTTAGTAACACTTTAACCACTGTTTATAGCTTGGAAGTTTCAGTGACACAAATTTTCACAGACAAGTTGTAAGCAAAAATAACTTTTATCACACTGGATTACCAAACTTATTTGCAAAAAAATAGTTATTTATAGGTAATACCAACTCACTGATTGGCCAGTCCTACTGAGCCATTTCTTTAGCTCCAAACCATTACAATTTGCTTTTAAAAACTGCATAGGACTCCATATTATTAGATTTTTCAGGTAAACAGACAAAATTCTATTAGGGTGGCAGTACCAACAGTGGGAAAAAAAAACTTATCAAATTTAAAATGTCATTGAAATAAATGCTTTGTTGCAGATGTGTTACGTTACCCATGTCAAAAATCCCTTCACCTAAAATTGTATCCAGGAATCAAATGATCAGAATTCAGGCACAAGTGGTCCAGGGCACCCAGTCTATGGATATTTAGCCTGAGTGAATTACTAATGATTCATGCACACTACAAAAAATACATACAGGGCTAAGTCATCCGAAACATATGTTTTAGTTGTGGATGAATACTACCTTTGTCCCTCACTCCTTATGTTGCAGGGACCAGCCCTAATGTTCCCGTTGAAGGGATAGAACTTTATCATTGCTGTCTTGGTCCCCATTTGAAAATTTTGCTTTCAATGACAGGTGTCACACAGATCAGGAAGTCATGGAAAATCTCTTCCCAAGTTGTGCATTTGGTGGATGTCAGACAGCTTCCCTTGGAAAAAAGAACTGTGTTTGTCTTTAGTAAATCAACCCCTATGTATTGGCTATAGCAGTTGAGCAGATAAGGGAGCTCAGATGCAAAGATCCTTTTCCCTGGGGTGGTGGCCTCTTTTAGAGCATCACCATCTACTTAAAGTGGTTGAAAACAATAGTCTAGAGACCACCACCACCAAACACAAGGGTAGCCCGTCTATCTACCCAGAGGGGCATGCAATTACAACCAGGCAGAGGCTTTTACCCTCACCACCCTATCCAAATGAATGCCCTGATTTTCTGTTTTATGTGGCCATCATATATTTACCTATCTTTTCAATATTGTCTTACACAATTCCAAGCAAAAGTATGCAATAAATATGTGAATGAACTCACTAATTTCTGTCTGTCTGGTATGTACAGTACAATCTATAGAATGGAAATATTCTCATTTAATGGCACAGTGCAGGTAGATATTATGCATGAAGTCACTTGAAATGTTCCATATCAATGAGTGTCTAAAGAGTCAGTCAGACTTTGCTAAACACACAAGAACATGTATCCCATATTTCAGCATACGAAGTCAGTGGGTTGCACAAGTATGTGGGTGCGGTTACCGTCCCTCATTCTTTTCCCTCATCCATCAGTTTTGCTATCATTCATCTTTGAAGTGCGTAAAGACCACCCTGAATCGACAAAACCATATTGTAGCAATTTTATATATTCTTGTGACAAGGCAGTCACTAGTGCAAATAAAAATTTGTTCCTCATTCATTAATATAAGCAAACTGTTATACTACTAACATTTACAACTTGACTGTTTCTTCCAAATGGCATATTAGTAATAATTCCAAGTGCAAACGTTTTTTTGTAGAACTATATTACATTTCTAGCATGTTTACTCAGTACACAAGTTCTTTATTTGCATATTACTGCAAAGCTTTGACAAGCCTATATAAGTAGACTGTGTGCAATGCCATTACTGTGTAACTCTGATCAGCTAATGTATGAAATCTGGCGGATGCAGCAAAAAAGGTACCAGGAATTGAAATTCTGGCATTAACAAGGGATATACGGCATGACCCTATTTACAGAACAACTCTCCTTGGCATTAAAAGGACTTGTTAAGCAGGTTCAATAGTCAATCTGGTTTGGATATGTTGCTATGGAGACAGGAAAACTGAAAAATTAGCGTAAATATTATAAAAAAACCTCTTGTTTCTCTGTATCGTTCCTAACTATAGCTATAAATGGAGCAGATATATTAGTTTATAACATAAGCAGACTTTTCTTGTAAGTGCTTCAGGATAGTTCCTTTCTGTTTGTCTATCTCAGCTTATTTAAACAATGTTTTTTACATATATTTGGTCTTTAACCCATTTGACATAATTTGACACCCATAGTTGCTACCATCTGTAATGTTATTTACATGTCAGAGGAAGAGCTGACAATGTACAGGCAAGGACAATGGTATGGGCAGCTGAGGTAAGGAAGGACTTAACAGCAGAGGTAAGCAGTTCAGGAGGGGTGCAGTGGTAGAGGAGGAGTGCAGGGGTGCA